AAATAAAGTTACACGGAGATCGCAGCAAGTCTACAAAGCTTTAAAGGTTCGAGGCAGAGGTTCACTAACGTGTCTCGCATAATCATCCAGCGGTGAGGCTGTCTGCATCCCGGCCTTAAGAGTCCAACCTGTAATCAGAGCCTGACAAGATGCAGGTGTGTGCCAAGGGCGGGAGCCTGCAGTGAGCTCCGCCCTGGCGGGGGAGAATGTACACAAAACACATGTGGCCTTGTGGAGCTGGCCGGGCAGACACGGGGACCATGACAGGAAGTGTTGTTACGTTACAGTTCAGTTTGTGGGTTACAACAGAAAATGATACATTGATTGTTTAGACATGGATTATTTCAACAAACTGAGGGCGTTTTCCTGAATAAGAGATCATCACGACTGAAGTGATTCATATAAGCTTTAAGCTCAGTATATCATGTCCTCAACAAGTAAACGGCTCTGCGTTTATTTCCAGATTTCCTATAAAAATACTGTTTGCTCTGATTGGTGCACATCGCCAAAAGTTACGTCTGCTGGAAACAAAAAAACAGCTTTCTGAGTTCATCACTGAAAACAGCTTTCTATTTTATTCGGGTAAAACACATTTCTGTATCTGAAAAACAAGAACGTGGGACGCTGTTTGTCTATGATTTTGACAGGGGGAACAGTGTGACAGGGTCAGCCTGAGAGAATCGGTTCCCCCCAAATAGGGGGAATATTAGTAGATGGTGGTTGTCTCTGGTGTGGTGTCATGGGTTTGCTTCCTTTTTCTGCACAGTTAGGCGGGGCGGTGTGTCACGGGATGCTGGCACACCGGCGGTACATCAGACGTCATTTGATGGAGCGTTATTTAGGAGCAGCGCGACAGACGTCTGGTGTCGGAGTATTGTCGCCTCTCTGAGTGGTAACCAGTGTTGGGTAAGTTACTTTAAAAAAGTAATTAATTACTAATTACTTAATCAATATTGTATTTAAAATACTTATCTAATTACTGTGTCTGAAAAGTAACTTAATTACTCAATACTAAATACTTCTTAAAATCCCTACAAACCTTGAGTGGGCAAACAATAGAAATGAAACTCTTTAAATAATAAATACATTTTTTTAAAGACAGAGACTCTACAGTACGCCGCGGTAGCATCTCTTCCACAATGTAGCCTGCAATCATTTTTTTAAGCTCACCTTCAGACGCTTTCTGTGCTGCTGAAGTAAAATCAGGTTTTGCCGCGGAGTTATCCATGGATGATGAACAAGGATCACTCAGAAGTGTTCGTCTATGCTCTGTGTCAGGCGCTTCAGTAGATTACTCCTGCTATTAACAGCAGCCGATAGTTTTTACATATTACTGTAATGTTCTTGTCTGCTTGTTTCAGAAACGTGAAGAGACGGGAATATGTCCATTTCATAAAACAGCCACTCGCTTCAGCCGAGCCGGCATCTTCCGCTTTAGAATATGACTGCTACTCATGCACTTCAGCTACTATAAATAAACGAAATAAACTAAATATAACTTTAGCTTTACAGTGCTTTTGTGTTATTTTTGAGGGATGAACTGATTCAGATTCATGGATTAAAACTACGTACAAATGGCAAACATAAAAATGACAAACATTTAACAATTCACCTTAACAGGACACACATGATAAAACTTTGATATTTTAGCTTTAAATCAAATACACTTCAAGGTATTTTTTTTTAAAAAAAAAGGTCAGTTGAACTTTCAAACGAGCAGGATCCATGTTTGCAGGCACTGACGTCTGATGTTTCAGGGTTTGATGAAAACCATCTGCTCCAGTTTCAGATAAATCACAGCTCACATGCTTTTCCTTGTTCTCTCTCACAATCTGACTGAAGCGTGTCAACAGTTCCTGAAGTTCAAGATCTTTCTGTTTTAAATATCTGTATCTGCACATGGTGACCAGGTGCTTCAATGCTGGATGCTGCTTGTAATTTTCTGTGTAAGCTAATTGTTCCTCTGTAGGTGTTGATATGAACATTATATTCCACTCACCTGCTGAAGTCAGTGCTGCAGAGAGAAGTGCTGTGAGTCCTCAGAGTGAAGCGCTATATATACACATGGACCAGCCCATCATCACAGTCAGTGTAAAAGTGAAATTAAAAGTTTGCAGCAGAACAAAACTGAAAGACATACCTGTGTACTTAATGTGTTTCTCATGTTTTCCTTATGAGCAACTCATGCAGCATCCACACAGTGAACCTTTATTTTGTTATGCATCGTTGTTAACTTTGATAAAACATACAATAAACATCTTTCATCAATCACTATTTTTTATTTCTAATGTGAATTTCTACTCACATTAATCCAACATTCCTTACTTTTAACTGCTGGACATTTGTGGGTGATTTTCATCTTTAAAGAAATCTTCCCATGTTTCAGTAATGGGATTTATATCAATGGTTATTTACTTCACCTGCTGTGAGTCTAGTTTATTGTGTTTGGTGATGTAAATGTTTGTATAGGTGGAAGAAATACTGGTTTACTGTGACCAAAGAACAGATATTGTTATAATGGTGACTGTGAGCCATCAGATTCACTCTGTGCTGCTTCAGTTGTCATGTCACTGAGGTTATTCATGCCCTTTGTGACAGTGTATCAACATCTAGCTGATACAAAAAGCTGTTATTTTCTATATTTGAACATATTAATTAAAAAAAACAAACAGTCATTTGGTCTTTTTTTTCTACCCTTTAGTATCTTTTATATTACACATAATGTAGAAATATTTGGTACAATATTATACATTGAACCAAAGACAAAAACAGTGTTTAAATGCAAAGAAAAGAATATTCACATAAGAAAGTAAATAAATGTCTAAGATTTTAAAAAGATCAATGATTGAACAAATGTAGGTAACATGAAAAACAAAAAACAAATTTTAACAGCTTTTGATTAAATTCTTAAAGTTCAAAATCAAACGAACAAATGGGAAAAAAAATTCTCTGATGACTCAGTCAAGTGAATCATCAAACACCAAATGTAAAATTGAATTGTAACCCAACAATAGGCATATGTTTAAAATGTTAAATAAAAAAATGATTCCCTGTTTTCCATTCAACTTTTCTACAATGAACCAAAGAAAGTTGTGGTCTCTCTTTTGGTCAGGATACAGTCCATGAGGACCCAAGATGGAGGGTAACAAAAGACAAGCTCTTTATTGAGCTGATGAAGCTAAACATAAAACTAAGCAGTGCAAAGTAATTCAACTCACTGGGGAACAGAGACACTAGGGCACAATAAAGGTACGCTCTGACAAAGAGACAAAGGAAGACACTTTAAATACACAGAGGAAAGAGAGGAAACACCTGGGAATGAAACAAGACCCAGGTGACCAGAATCTAACTGATGAAACGGATGAAGCAAAGCACAATGCACACAGGACAAGGGATTAACAACATAAAACATAAATACATTAAGAGGGACCTCAGACAATAAACTTGACATGAACCTTTAAACTCGACAGACCAAAGGTAAACAAGCTGACTACACACAGAGACAAAACAGTGAGTGGAAATGAAAGGGAACTAACACAACTTCATGAAGAACTAAGAAACTGAAATAACAAACCTCAAAACACATGGTCCAAAAACCCAGGATCATACATATTTTTTAACCTGACAGCTCTGAGACACGTGTTGAAAACGTCATCATACACTAATGTTTCATTCTGATTTTTATATATGATTATATTTTCATCTCTTTACATAAAAAACAAATATAAGTTTAATAAGCCCTCATAAATCAGCTGCACAGATAGCTAAAACTATTGTTTCTCCCACTGTAACTTTCAGTTCTTCAGGGATTTCATCTGTGAATTTTTTTCTTCATAACGTTTCAATGCTACATTCAGCTCTGCTCATAAGTAAAGTGTATTAATTAACCTAATCACATTTGACATTAAAATCGTCACATGTGAACATGATTTTTGTCATTTTATGTTGCTTAACCAAACGATGCGAGCTGTTATGTTCGAGTGTAGGGAAGTAAGACACTGTAAAACAATAACCTTTAGGAGTGTTATATTCCAGACACTTTGGAACTCAGATTCCAAACAAAGTGAGCAAAAACAAGATGTTTTGGTTCTTAGCAAGGTAGAGCTATTCAGGCATCACTAGCAGCATGATACTTGGTTTGTTGCTCTTAAAAAAACATGATCATGGATTGAGCCTCATCAGTACTCTGCATATGATTTATTCAGTGAGTAACAAATACGCCCGTTCTCACTCCCGAGGCGTAACATGCCGACGTTTTGTCACGTCCCGGGGCGTTCCTGAGGAGCAAAAGGAGACCTTCAGCGTTCTTATGGTACGCAGCAGGTTATGGCTGAAATCCAGTGCAATGACGCTCCCGCGGTAATAGACGTTCCAGCCCTAAACCTAACCTTATCCCTAGCCCTAACCATAACCTTTTTCCTGAGGTTAACCAGGACTTTAATGATGTTAAATAGCGTGTTTCTAAGCGATTAGAAGAAAAAGAGCGAACATGTGTAGATTGAGTCCCTATGGTTCTCATATTTCCTCATTTTTCCGAGGTCGTCATTTAGGAACGTGGTGGGTAGCCGAAAACGTAATATGTTGACGATTTGTCACCTAGCGTAAAATGTTACGCTTTGGGAGTGAGAACGTGTTGCACATACACAACAGCGGTAGTACAGATTACAAATCTACAGTTTTAATACAGTTTGCATTCAGTGCTGTCATTTTGGATTCTTAACATAGGGTTGCTGAGTTAAAAAAATCCAGTTCTACTTTCACTGTCCAAGTGGGAAATCTGAGTTGAGGGGGTGTTACAGATTCAAATTCTGACCAAGAACTTGGAAATTCCGACTTCCATCTCATTTCAGGAATGCACCATTAAGCTACTGTAAACCAACCTCCATCTATCCCTATCCTATCTGTTGCATGTTTATTCATTTTTATTCTCTATTAAAATAAATAGGAGGCAGAAACTCTGGACAGAGTAATATTATGAGTTGTAGCGTTGGAAAAGAACATCAGGACACAGTGCACTTCTTTTTGTACTTCTCATTCAGATCATTTATCTCTTGTTCTTGTTTTTTGTTCAGTTCCTCCAGTTTTTGTTGATTATCTTCCTTCTTCTTCAGTTCTTCTTTGAGTTTCTTTTCTGTGTCTCTTGAGCGTTGTTGTAGCTGATTAAACTGTGCGCCGTGTTCTTGTTTTTTCTGTTGCATTTCTGTTTCATGCTCTTGCATCTGCTTCTTTAGTTCTTCAGCATGTTTTTTCGCCAAAGCTTCCAAAGCTTTGGTGTATTTTCTTCTGAAGTCATTGAACTCTTCAGCTTGTTTTCTGGCATTCTCTTCCGATTTCTTTATCATGTCATCTATCTTTCTTTTGTAGCTTTCCTCTAAGTCTTTTCTCTCTTTTTCTTCACGTAGTCTTCTGATTCGATCAGCTTCTTTACTTTCTTCAAATGTTTTTCTTTCCAGGTCAAATTCTTTTTGGGTCTTTTTCATTCTTTCTATCTCCTTAATGCGAGACTGTCGAGCTTCACGATATCGTTTCTCCCACCAGTCTTGTCTTTCCTTCTCCCAGGCCTCGTTTTGTTTTATCATTTCCATTTTGTTCTGTATCAACTCTTTATCTATGGTTTCTTTTTCTTCAGATTCTGATTTTATTTTTTTTTCTAAAGCTTCAAGTTTTTGTTTCTCCTCTTTTCTTTTAAGTTTTTCCTCTTTTTTCTTTATCCTGTCTTCCTCTTTTCTCTCCTCCTTTTCTTTCTTTCTCTGCTCGCGCTCTTTGTTGATGTGTTCTTCTTTTTCTTTAAGTTGTTGTTCTCTCAGTTTTCTGTCTTGTTCAATTTTCTCTTCCTGTTCAACCATTCTTCTTTTCATTGTTTCTTTTTCTTCCTCATGTTTTCTTTCAAGTTCCCTTATCTGTTTCTTCATCTCTTCTTCCTTCTCCTTTAGGATTCTCTGCATTTCCTTCTTTATCGCTGCTTCAGCCTCTTCCAGCATCTCATTGGTGAAACAGTTTCCTCCATTGTTCTTCACCATGGTGTCAATCTTTGTTATCAGCTCACTGACTTGTGTGCGGCTTTTTTTCTCACGGTTATTGAACACATGGTATCTTCCTGCACAGTCAGCAATCAGCTTCTTAAAAGAGTCATCAGTTTTGTGTTGGATGTACTCTTCAACAGACACCTCATCATCCTCCAGTGAATCTCCTCCAGTTAAAAGAATGATGGTGAACTTTCCAGAACTTTTTCCAAAACCTTTCTTGATTAAATCGAGTGTTTGTTTATCCTCTGCTGTGAACCTGCCGATCTGTATCACCAGCAGGAAGACGTGTGGTCCTGGAGCCAGAAGACTGACACATTTCATCATCTCCTCATGAACTTCTTCATGTGACAGAGTTGTGTCAAACAGACCAGGAGTGTCGACCACAGCAACAGGACGACCGTCCACTTCACCCTGTTCTTTCTGACAGCATTTGGTGACGGATGTTTGGCTCGATTCTGCTTTGAACTCCTTTCTTCCTAGAATGGTGTTTCCTGTAGAGCTCTTTCCACTGCCGGTCTTTCCCATCAGGACAATCCTGAGACTTTTGGTGCTCTGCTTCTCCTCATCACCTGTAACATTTCATAAAGGCTTGATTTATTTTCTTTTAAGAAATGCAAAAGTAAGAAGAGATCTGCATGTGAAAATAACTGAACAGTGACAAATATGCCATCATAAAAGATCTGAAATTAAAAAATCCCTATGCATTGAACCCATATTAAAGCCTTTACCCTTGAGTAATCTCATATTTGATTTTTTTCAGGAATCCTTTGTAAGCAATGACTACCTAATTTCTGAAACCCATCAACAGTTGATGGTGGCCTGTGGCTCAGTGACCTTTCACCTACTCAGTGGTAAGAACCCAATCTTAGCATGTCGAAACACCCGATGACATCTTCTTCTGCCGGGTCTCTCTTGGAAATTAGATTTTTAATCTCAATGAAATTTTTTACCTGGATAAATAAAGGACTAATAAAAATCTAGTACATGTAAATGCAAGTATGTGTACGTGTATATATTGGTTTGTTGTATATGTCTGAAATAAAGATGATAATAATAATAATAATAATAATAATAATAATAATAATAATAATAATAATAATAATAATAATAATAATAATAATAATAATAATAATAAAAGCTGCAGTTGCTTACAACACGACTTAAGGTGGAAGCACTTTCGGGTGTATTTTATTATGTATTATCATTGGGCTCTTGGCGAAGGCGGCCGCACTTTTCTCTCTCTCCCTCTCTCTTATCTTTTCTGCTTGGATTCTCATGTACTTTTCTAGTCTGGTCTACTTTTCTACTTTTACCCTGGAAGACTCTCACGGTCTGTTCTCCTAAACCTAAAAGACAAATTAGAAATTATGGATTTGATTTGATCAACTGGTTCCTGAATGCAATTGACACGCTCTTCTCAACGAGAAGCCTGGGTTCGGGTGAGCCCAGGTGTCCTGGAGGGATGTTCCCTGCCGGATACACGATGGACGGGTGGAGGAACTGGAGGGTGCCTGGCGGGACTGTCGATCGAGGACATTGAAGACATGTACCTTTTCTGAACCATGATAACGGAGTTCTTGCTGATCAGAGCTGAACAACATAAAACTTTGTCCTTGATAACAGACTGACAGATATTACTGTGTCAAAGCAACTACGGGTGGAACATGGGGGGAAATTTTTTTTTCTTTGCCTACTTTTTTTAAATTTTAATTTAATTAATTTAGGGTGCCATCCAAGTCTTCTCTGGTTGTCTTCACACAAGCATCCTCAGCCAGTTGATCCGAAAGACCAAGAAGAATATTCATCTGGCTTGACTTGACCAGTGCATTGCTGCTTTAGAACATTTCCATATACCCTACAAAATCAGGGGATTGGTGTTTTGTAGAGGAGAGAGGAGTCTTTCCACATCCCAGTCTCACTCTGCTCAATTTATGACACCTTTCCATCACTAACAAACCTGTACAGGTGGGGAATGAGGGAGGACCCACAGTGCAGGTTATATGTGGGGAGATAGGAACAATGATGCATATTCTGGCAAGACTGCTCTCAGCCAGGGAAGATACAGATGAAGCCATGATGAGATTCTTAGAGTACTGCCCAACATTTTTGATAGCAGAGACAGAGAAGACATCAAGGTCAAGCAAGACCAATGCTATTCCTATAGGAAGGGGTGAGACCTCCATTCTCCAAGAAGACCAGGAAGTGTCTGCTGTGGTTATCATGGGAGATGAGGGTGGATGTGGGAAGAAAACTTCATTTTTCTTAGGTTGTGAAAACCTCCCTGAGACCTAACATGGTTAACTGGTTATAGGAGGCTAAGAAGATCATCCTGCTAGAACAGACTGTCCATTGGAGGATGAATGTGCTGAAGATGCAGTGATGAAAACCAATAAAGCAGAGACAGAAGGTGGCCTGGCTATTCCCAGTTTAAGTAAGATGCAGGGGTTTCCAGCACACACTCACAGGCCTTGGAGTAACAGCTTCCTGTTGCTCCAAGGCCTGTGAGTGTCTGCCACCAGTCCACTTTCCAGATAGGAAGGCAGCCGTCCTTAGGTAGGCCACTGAGAGAGCCTCTTGTTGGCTCTGAAGCAGGAGGGGGCAGGGTAGCTGGGGACTAAGAGAAGATGGGCAGTAACTGGCTATCACTGCGGCCCCGCCAACCTAAGGTTGTTGTGATTCAGGGTCAAAACACCCAGTGATACTTGGACATGAACTGACGTACATCTCCTCCTGGTCGAAAGTTGTAGTCACTTACAAAGCAACTTAAGGTTGATGCACTTCAGGGTGTATTTTACAAGTCTATGATTTAGTATAGTGTTCAGCATTAAAATGCAAGGTGAGATCCACCATGACCATATACAGCAAATATGTCTTAACTTTAAAATGTCTGGGTTGCAGTTGCAGTGTGTTTTGTGTAATTGTCCATCTGTATTGTAAAGCACTGTCCCTGAAACTCTGCTGCATTTGAACATACAATATGTCCAAGTACATTTCAGCTGATTCTAGAATCTCTCACGTCAGCTCCTGTGACCCAGTGCCACTGGAAGCCACACATGTCCTTGCATCACATTGTCCTCCGCTATGTTTTAGAGACAATTTTTTAAGATAAATATCACAAGGTGACATGATTTCAATTCTTCAGTTTGGGATGATTTTGTTTTTGCAATAAAAATACTGCCCGTTCCATTTTTCCAGATTTTCTGCATTGTTCTGTCTCATGAAAGGACTCTTACAGAGGACTTTGGACCACTGAGCAAGAGATCAGTTCTTTTTTTCCCTTCAGCCCAGGTAAGAAGCTTCTGACGTTGTTTGTTGGTCAGGGTTGCTTGATAAGAGGAATACGACGATTTGACACCCGTGTCCAGGATCCACCTGTGTGGCTCGATGCACTAACTCAAGCCTCGGTCCACTCTTTGTGAAGGTCCCCACACTTTTGAATGGCCTGATAATCCTCTCCAGGCTGCGGTCATCCCTGCTGCTTGTACATCTTTTCTTCCACACTTTTCCCTTCCACAAAACTTTCTATTAATGTGCTTTGAAACAGCACTTTGGGAACATCCAAAGACTTTTGCAATTAACTTCCGAGGCTTTCCCTCATGGAGGGTGTCTCTGATGGTTTTCTGCACAACTGTCAGGTCTGCAGTCTTCCCCATGATTGTGATTCCTACTCAGTGTTGGGAAGGTTACTTTTAAAATGTATTCCACTACAGA